ATAGCCTCAAAGAAAAATTCACTAGCTTGTCAGTGATAATTTGTATGTAAAGAGAAATAAAGGTATATAGAAAAAATAGCAGAAAGTATTATATCTGAAATCCACGAGGAGCCCATACCTGATGACTTGAAAGCGAGAAATAGAACTGAGTCAGATGATTCATTACTGGATGTATTAATTAAAGAATGATTTCCTTGTGATAAAGGCAATTTCAATGGTCGAGAATTGAGCAACACAATAAAAATGGTGATTGTTCATAATGGCCCGTCTCAACCAGATATAAATTTTCCAAAAGAGGAGTTTCTCTTATTTTTATTACTCAAAGAAAAGCCATGCAGCGGAATTATTTCAAGAAAATGGTTGTGTTATCCACCCAAAAAAAATAAAGCGTATTGTGGAGCTTGTTAGTTATTCATTATGATCAATAGTTTATGGAAAGAAGGGACTTCTGACTGGAAAGGTTTGTCTCGAGGGAGCCCTAAATGATTTTGGCAGGGGGCCCAAAATATGAAGTTAAGCCACAAGTATAGAAGTGAGGATACTTACTCGTCAGGTTGACTAGAAAATCATCCATAAAAATATCTTCGGTCCAGTTGAGTGATATCAACATCATTGCTTATTACGGTACAGACATGTTTAAATTTGTTTCCCAAAATGAGATAATATGCAGATGACATTTTACATTTTCTCAAACAGTCATTATAGCTGCAGCATACTGTCGTGATGAAGTGAACTTGACAAGTGAAAGAAAATACTGGAATAATGGAAGCAAATTGTCAACTTCAAATTCGCTTTCATTATTCCAGTATTTTCTTTAACATGTCAAGTTCATTCCATCAATGCGTATGCCGTAGGGTCCCTTGATGGAAATTGACGTTAAAGTCATCTCAACAGGGTACGGACAGATCATAGCTGCATTCTTTTTTAATGATGTAGAGACTTTAGTTTTGTCTACTTGCATCCCTGACATTGCTGTCACGTCACATCCATGGGCGCTACAAATTTCAATAATAGGTTTGTACAGGGTGTTTACTTGTTGAAGATCATATGGCGAACGAGTTTTGTAATTATGATCCGATTCTATTCAAAAATGGAAAATATCTGGGGTTTTCCGGGGTTGAAGATAATGATTGTTTCGTCAAACTTGGAAAATTCAAGATGACCAATCCAATATACAGGCTGATTCACGGTGGATGGCACATTAGACGTTTCTGGAAAACGCAACTCAGGATTATTCTGAAAAGTTGGTGCCTTGAATAATTAGTTGTGTTCTATCGACCTGAAATATTCTCAGCGCTGCCACCGTGAATCAGCCCGTATAGCGAAAGAAATTTCTAATTATGATCTAGACAAAGTTTACAGTAGTTTCGGTTTCCATCATTTCTCAATCATAAGGCTCAGCTCATTAAGCTGATAGATAAACTTCTGCTCAGCTTGAAATCAGAATTCATTCAGTCAATTCAGTCAACCCTATAGTATACAGTCTAAGAACAGTCTCTCTTAGTGAAATATATTAAACTTTCAGTACAATTTATATGTTCCCTACCTCGCAAAGATTATGCTGGAGTAGTAAACTCTGAATCTTGAGGACTGTTCATCTATATCTTGGTATAGTTGAATCGGGAATTCCATATGGAAATTACGTATGATACGCCAGTGACCTCAATATAACCTAAAAAACAACGAATGTCAAAAATCTAGTGTTTTTCCCTAGAATTGAATAAGGATGGAACTATATAACTGTTTCACAAACACTTTAGAGTGAGAGGAGACGAGGATCTGTCCGTACCCTGTTAGGATGACTTTAACGTCAATTTCCATCAAGGGACCCTAGTATGCCGTAAATGTGAAATGTAATCTGCATATTATTACATTTTGTTAAACAAATTTCAATCTGTTTGTACCGTAATTTGCCATACTGTTAATAAATCAACTGGACCGAAGGACGATGGATGATTTTCTTGTCAACCTGACGAGTAAGTAATCTCACTTTTACTTATTTCTAAATTCACATTTACCATTTTCCAATTTTATGACGAAGTCTTTTTCAATAGCTGAAAATTGATTACCTTCTATTTTCCATATTTCAAATTTAACTTCCTTCAGAAATAAATTTCAACATTTTTTTCAATTTTCCATGAGGTCTTTTTCAATAGCTAGAAGCTGAGTTGTTACCCACAGGTACGCACTGATGATGACTGTTAGTCGAAAGCGCTCTGCTACGAGAAATGAAATGAAATTTATTTTGCACGAAATACAACTTCTTGTACTAAACTGGGCGTCAATTGAAACGTTAATAGTGAAATTTGGCATCAAGTTTGACTTCTCGTAATTTCTGAAATATTGAACGAATTTTGAATTGCCTCCCAGATTCTGAATGCCTTTTTCATCGTCTTTCGAACCGTTCTTTACAGCTTCTTCTTAATTGATCAGGACCCATGATATAGGGTGAAACAAAGTTTCGTGCATTTCGAAAAATATTTCTCCGTCCCCCATTTTGTCGAAAGACCACGTTGCTCTCATTTTCTTCGGGCATTTCATAAAAAATAGCAACCATACCTCGGAAAATTTCCGGGTTTTTGCCAAAAACTACTGTGGTTTCCGACAAAAAATTTTTTTCGCATTTCGATTTCAGGAAAGCGTTGGAGCAGATATGTATACCAGGTTACTCAGAAGCAATCAATAATTATTCATTACTTCGCAGTATATGATAAAAGTTTTCTACCTTAGTGAGCAGTAAATCAACACATCTCATCAACAAGAACAACGATAGCTTGTTTCTATAACAAAGTATTGTTGAAACAATGTATCAATGCATAGAGGTTATATCAATCGCCAATTTTCATGAAAACGTCAATGTAATTCGGCTCCTAAAAAATTTAAAGATGCCTCGTTTGAATCGGGTTGAAATGGAAAGTATCATTAGGTAAGATCACTATAGTGATATAAACTATAGACTGCGAAGTAATAAATTATTGATTGTTTTTGAGTAACCTGGTATACATATATGCTCCAACGCTTTCCTGGAATGCATAAAAGCGTTCATTGATGGAACTCCTCTAAAATTAGTCCATTTAAAAAAATGCAATTTTTTTTTTTCGGAAACCACAGTAGTTTTTGGCAAAAACTCGAAAATGTCCCGAGGTATGGTTGCTATTTATGAAATGCCCGAATAAAATATGAGCATCGTGGTTCTTCTTTGTTTCACCCTGTATCATGGGTCCTGATCAATTCAGAAGAAGCTGTAAAGAAAGGTTCGAAAGACGATGAAGAAGGCATTCAGAACCTGGACCGCAATTCAAAATTCGTTCAATATTTTAGAAATTACGAGTAGTCAAACTTGATGCCAAATTCCACTATTAACGTTTCAATTGACGCCCAGTTTATTTTGGTGATTCACCTCTCCGATAAATAATGGTGTCCAAGAATTCAGTCTTCGATATATTAACAACAGAACTGTATATTTATTGACACTCTCTCGTATTTTATCATACGAATACATTTTACTAGTGAAGTATATAGAGTGATTTTATGAGAAGGACCAACCCTGAATACTTAAAAAAAACAGAAAATGTCCAAAAAACTTCGATTTTTATCGAGCAGACATCTTCTGACATATAGTTGGGATCCGTATTTCTAACCCCCTACCTCGATATATACCACCCAACAGAATTCTTAACTGGAATGACCCACCTTGTTATACCGCTTTGGATATAGAATTTCATCAGGAATCGAGTTATATAATCTTCAGGTCTGATTCATGACTTCTTCTCCTACAAAAGTTGATGCAGGCAGAGAAATAACGAAATCAACGAAATATAAAAATACCACCATTACCCGGAAAGAACTTGTGGATGCTACTGGATTCTGCGCAAAATACTCTGTTAGACCTATCCCTTCGCGTAACAGCATTTTAATAACTTCGTTGATACTTAAGAAGTGTCCAGAAAGTATAAAATCGCCTTGTATCGCAAACAGTTATGCAAAATCAGATAAGGCCATATGAGGCCATCTCCCAGGTTAAACACTGATATTGGTTGAATATTGAACCAATATAGAGTGAATGTAGGGAAAATATCCATTATAAATATTGGGTCAATTGATAAATGTGAATATTCTGGGATTCTGTTGTTTCACTAATCTCTATCCAATATCGATTTCATATTCTTCTACAAATCTATATGGGCAAAAAAAGTATGTTATCAATTTGGAAATTATCTTTATGTTGAATTATGTTATTCAATCAATATTGTATAATGCATAATGTATCAGATTCACTGTCCAAGATTGATTCGATATTGAGCATACAACATCGGCTCATCATGAAAATTGACATATTGTTATCGTCAATATTTCGCCAATATCGAATAAGTAGATATTGGCAACTAAATATCGGCTGGTCACAAAATTTTGATGTTATTCACAACAATGGCACTGGATTGATTATTGAATATCGAAATGAAAAATTGGTTTGATATTGAGAAAATCTAGTAATTCCATATTCAATATTCGAATATTGGGCTAATGTGAAACCAATAAGTTCTAGCCATTATAATGTTCTACCTGATCGGTTCGAGTTTCACATAAGAAGTGGATAGGGACGTATGAAAACCGCAAGGCTGTATCATCAATAAAAACCGAGAAACCTGACAGGCTCATTCAAAATGGGAAGCACTATAGTGTAGTTCGCAAGAATTCTCAAATCATCGCTAGAGATTTTCACATAGCTCAATTCCTGAAGGCATTTCTCCTCCAACCGGAATAACAAGGTGAGTAATTCCATTCAAGAATTCTCAGGGAGTGAGAGATAGGTACGATTCTTAACTATACCTCGAAAGATGTTCCCTCTCGATGAGAATCTACGTGTTTTAAAAAAATCACCCTGTATATAATTCAATGATTTTGATTGGATGTTGCAGATAATGTTTCAGCTAATTCTATTCTCGAGTAAAATTGTATTCATTGACTGTCATTCTAGCTTCTGAGCTCCTGATCAAGCCCTCATCCTGAGTACTGCTTCAGAATTTTGTTCCACTCCTTGGGGAAGTTGACTTGCATGTATCCCAGCACTTTTCTGATCTGCCTTTGCTCCTGTGGACTACATTGTGAACAAGATCCCTGAAGGACCAGAGGTGCCAAACCTGGAAAAAACGAAGTAGATACACATTCAATTGAATCATAGGCATCATTTGGGGGGGGCAGGGGGGAAAATTGACATCCTTCCTGATTTTTCACAAAAAAATAATATCACAATGGAACTTTCATTATCAATGTCACAAAACGAAAATAACAGGGAAATGCAGTGTATCAACAGTTTACTTTTTATCTAGATATAGGTACTACCGCGGACAATGTGTAACTTATTCTAGCTTTTTTGACTGTTTTGAATAATAGTTTTTGAATGGAATTTGTTAGAGTCCCTCATTACTCGATAAAAATCCTTCAACATTACTTCATCTATAATTTATTTACATTACTTCAACCTAATTGAGATATTTGTTGATTTAACCATATGTATCAGAATCTTCGGGATTTTCTCTCCTAGTTTCTGAAAATATGAATATGAGTAACAAAAATATCCCTGCGTTCAAACGATTTCACTTTCATAAAATTGGAAGAGAAATCTGTTACTAATAGTCAGTGACACTTTGTCCTTGTATTGAAATTATATTAAGATTTCTATTCAAAAAAACAGGGGAGGCAATATCAAAAATTCTGAAGAAATCAACATCAACCTGCTCAGTTCCTTCCACTTGCACTCCCAATTGTCATATAATTTCTGATAATTTCATAGCAATCACAACAGAATGATGAAATGAAACTAAATATCAAATGAAATGTGATACAGTCATGTGATATGAAGTTGTGGTCACTGTGAAAAAATTTTAATTTCCAATTTGAAGGCATCTCTGAGTTACTTGCTCCTTCCCTGGTATACACTGAAATGACGCCCCTGAATTGAATTTCATGTCAACGAAGATAATAGATATCTGAGTAACCAGTTAAGAAACGTGTTGTTTTCTGTGGCGGTGAGATTTTGCGAAAAAAGCGAAGCGAAATAATTCTAATTAATTTTATAGCAATTTAGCAACTTCGCAGACGAATTGCAAAAATAGAACACTGTTTTGTAGATAACGATGAATCAAAATATGTGAAAAAATAAAAGATGTTCCATTATTGGAAAATCAATCTTGTAACTCCGTTTTCAAAAGACGTAATGTAGGGATCAAGATAATTTTCCCTAGCCGAAGACGATGGAAATTTTTTTGAATATTCATCATGTTTGTTTGAGAAAGAATTTCCGGTTTTTGATTGAATCTAGAGTGATATTCAGAAAGAAAATATCACACCGAAATTTCAAAATATACCAGGATAATATTACGCTGAATAAAATAAAAATTAACGACTTCATTCACGCAAAATATTAATAAGTAAGGCAGCTGGTGGTAGTTATTCTTGAATAACTATATTCCACTGAATTTGGTGGAAATAGAAGAGCGTAAGTAATATATGTAGTATCAATATAGTTCATATCCATAACATTGTAAGTGAGTCAAATAAAAAACAATTAACTTGATAAAGTTAAACATAATAATAGGAAATAAGTCGATAGTAGCTCAATCTCTCAGTTATTCACAAATTCATTTTACAGGAATCGGTAGAAAAATATTTTCCATCGTTTTTTTTTTCACCAATAAAATTAGCGAAAGTTGATAGAAAAATAATGTCTCACAAGAAACTCATCAACATATTGAATGAATTCGTAATCTGGAGATAAATGTTAATGTTAACCTACCAATAAACGTCAAGAAATTTTCCCTGTAATTCCATGATCTTTCCTCCAAGGAGAAGGAAAAAATTACCAGAAAGTTGTTGAGTTGATATAGTAACGATACAACATACAGGCTTGTAATTGGTCGAAAATAAATTTTCATGAATAACTTGGACTTTGGACCTTGAATTACTCACTTTTCAGCCTGCGGCCGACAGGGTCACATGGCGCCTCTCCCAGAGCGCACTTCAGCTGCCTCATGAGGTACCGTTTGTCCTTGAGGGTGTTCTCCAGAGCATCGTCCGAGACGCTCACTCGTTCGGTCGTAGACGTGGGACGGGCGTTAGATATCGATGCGATCGATATGAAGACTATGACCGTGAGGAGGAGATCCTGAAGAAGCGAGAAGATAAGCTATATATATGTATCTTCTTGTGAAGATTCATTCAAGTCAGAACTAAAACATATTTCAATTGAGTCTGGTGTAGAGAAATGGTATAAGTCTAAGATCCGACTGCATGCATGCATCCAACAAGAGGGATAAAGCTGGGCGATGAGCCGTAGCTCGTGCCATAACTCACAGCTCAGAGCAGCTTATCAAGGAACCTACACGAATTTCATATGTCAACAATCATTCAGCCAACACACTCGACTTATTCCTCAATAATTTAGTGCCTTACGCCATAGTTGTACAAGCTCCATTTGGCGATTCTGATCATACACTCATCTCCAAAACCTGCCCATTACTCATTCCAACAACTACTCCAGCACCCCCACGTATGTGTGGGATGGACACATACATACCCCATTTTTCGAAAGGACCATTAGCTTCGAAACCCTGGTTCAACAAGAACTGTTCTAGATTTGTTGCCTTTGAACAAAAAGCATACCATCGCTGGCGCAAGGACCCTAACCTCGTGAGCAAGGAATAACTGCAGCCAAACAATAGATGCATTGAAAAAATCATACAATGCATAAATAAGATCAAAACTCATAGATTGTCCCAATGTGTCTCGTTCGTTTTGGTCCCTTCCTAAAGCAGTCGAGAGGAGTTCCACTGATAGTTCATTACCACAACTCTCCAAAGCAGACGGCACACTAGCAACAACATCGCAAGAGAAAACGAACATTTTGACAATGTGGCTTTCACCACCAAAAATCAACTGGAGATTGACTTGCCTACGTCACCCATATATGACAAGATTCAGTAGGAAAACATGAGGAATCTCTAGTTTTAGCTTAGATATATCGAAGGCATTTGACCGTGTTCGGCACCAAGGACTGCTTAGTACTATCGTACAGCTTACCACCACAGGTATATGCCATATTTTATCAAGTTTTTTCTCAGGCAGATACCATCGCCATCAATTCCTGCGTTTCACAAGGATCAATTCTGGCACCAACATTGTTCCTACTTCAAATCTACGATCTATTGGGAGCAACTACTTGCCCTATCCATAGCATTGCAGACAATAATATTGTAGATACTGCGTTTTCTTCTAGAATTCCCATTACTTTCCAGAAAAATAAGAACTTACGACGAAGGTAGGTCAACGCTGTCTATGAAGATCTTGCGGAAATTACAGCCTGGGTAACCAACAACCTAGTTGAATTCATCGCCACCAAAACTCAAGCCTGTATTTTCTCAAGGAAGGTGGAACTCAGTATGACTTATATAACAATGTCTGGTATTACCATTTCCACCAAGACCACTATATCTTTGCTTGGTTTCACCATCAGCAATACTCTCTCATGGGCAAATCATGTATGGTCCATCGCAAAAGTTGCTTACCAAAACTCGGATTCCTGTTCCGTGCGGAAATCCACTTCACACCTCAATAGCTTTTCATGATCTACAAAGCAAAGATACGGCCGGTTTCAGAATACTGTTCTCATATATGTGGTTCAGCACCCAAACATACGCTAATGCTCTCCGATTCCATCCAGGCAAGAGCCATTCACCTGGTGGGTGATGCCACACTCACTAACTCTTTGACTCCATCAGAACACCGTAGGAAAGTCGGCGTGCACGGGAAATGTTCCTGAGATATCTCTGCTATAATTCCATCACTAGCAATACCTGTCAGACGTATTCGACAGGCTCAGTCAGCACATATCTCTGACGGTAACCTTGAAAAATGTCGAACAACACTCCTCCAATACTCGTTCGTCTATAGCGGCGAAGCTTTGAAATTCCTTTCGAATGGAAATATTCCCAAGAGCTCATAACCACCAGAAGTTCGAAAAAGAATCCAACACCTACCTCCTCTTCCTAACCTCTCTAGGTACGCACTATGTTCTACGAGCATTATAGGAATTTCCTCTCGTGCATTCCAAGAGATGAAAAAATGGCAATTTTCAGAAGATCTAATTCGTTATTTTGGATACAATTGGGGGACGTGCATTTTAGAACACATGTTCGTGTATGAAGAAAAAGTCTTATTTTGATCCCAACAATATGTCCTTGGAATGTCTACATCGAATGTTGAATCACATTGTATATTCATGAATAGGAGAATTGAAAAGTGATGATTGCTGTTGCACTCTGGGCCGCAACCTCTTCGCATTCTGTTACTATTCATACTTTCATGGCGTTTATTGATCATTTTTAAATGAAATTGAAGCCATATTTTTCTGTGTATTCATTCATAATAATATGTGATACAATTTATATAGATTATAACATTATAACATTACACCCCCACCAGAAGGACAGAATCCACCTAAGCAAGTGAATGCTTGTGTCGTGGTGTTCTATGCTTCAGTGTGGGAATAAATATAATAATAATTAATATTTTGAGACGAGTGTAGCTCACACCCAGACAGCACCAGATATTCCATGAATCTCCCTATCATATTCCTTTTGGAATATTGGAATATTCTAGAAATAATCTGGAATATTCCGGAATATCTGTGGAATATTCTCTAAATATGCGAATGGGAATTCCTCAGATAATCATAGAATTTACCCAAAGGTATATTCTATGTTGAATGTTCCTGGAATATTCCAATAAACATATTCTAAAATTAAAAAAAGTTACCCAAGTAGGGATCGAACTCGTGACCTCAAGACTATCAGAGCAACGCCTTGACCACTAGGCCAGTAATCGAATTGAATAATGTTATACATTTCAAGTCCTTGTAAAAGCATTGTTCGAAATCGGATCATAAACACTTTTTGTTTCAAAATCCCCTTACATCTAATTGATGTTCGATACTCATATCTCTGAAATAATAAATGGTATTTATGTGTTGAGAAACACAGGAATATTCATGGAATATTTCATGAATATTCACCACCGAATATTCAGTTGAGAATATTTCATGAATATACCGCACAGAATATTCAGTTGGGTATATTTCATGAATATACTGCACAGAATATTCAGTTGGGTATATTTCATGAATATACAACAGAGAATATTCAGTTGGGAATATTCCTGGAAGATTCATACCTGAATATTCCCTGAACATGTACGACTATTCACTTTGGAATATTCCTTTTAGATGTTCCAGTGGCACGTATATATTCTAGGAATGATCGATGAATATTCGGAATATACTCCTCCTTTTTAGCATATTTAGAGAATATTCTATGAATATCCAGTGCTGTCTGGGCATTTCACCTACTAGGTTGTAATATAGAATCAATAGGATGGAATTCGGAATCGGAAGTAGAAACAAAGGTTTCTCAGTTGAAAATACGAAGTATAGTCGGAGTCTCAGTGACATAAATTTTGATTTTCAATTTGTAACTCCTAATTCTCATGTTTTTTTTATCTCCAGTGGAAGCATATTGTACAGTTTAGGCCCATAATGACGAATAAACCTTTGCGTACGACTCTTTTTGAAATTAGAAATTTTGATGGATAGATTCTTTACCGATCGTGTCAATGTCTCGCTTTTTTCAAACTTTTTCTCATCAAACATCCACAGAAGACATTAATATGAATACAAACCTCTGATATTCAGGAGCTTTGTATCTTCATGAAGTTGTTCTGTTGAAAAATGCCCCTTTTTTTTTGGAAATGATTTTCAGAATGGAATTTTGTGTAGATTGGAGCCGGTAGAGTGTGTTGTTGTACATTTCGCCCCAAGCAGTTATACAGTATTCAAGGACAGATTCTGCTAGTGAATTATAGATGATGAATAGATTTTCTCAGTCTCAAATATCTCTCAGTTCATAAAAACACCTTGTCAACATTCGGAGTCGTTTCACTGAGTAATCACGATGAACATCCCATTTTAAATGCTGATCTATCATCACACCTAAGTATTCAATATTATCTACTCTTTCTATCAGAGGGCATGCGCAGTTTTGTGAGGTACATCCTACTCGATGTATCCTCACCCTAATAACACACTTATGTCCCATGGATATCCTTAGGACGTCCTGTCGGGACATTCAGGACGTCCATAGGACGTTCGAATTTGGTACTGTGGACGTCCATTGGACGTCTGTGGGACAAACAAATGTCCCACTTGAGGACCAACTAGGGACGTCCTTGAGGAATGTCCCTGGGACAACTATCGAATACCCATATCCTACAGTATTCCTCATCAAGCACTTCAGAGGACATCCTTAGGACATCCATAGGACAACCTATCAGCAACGCTGAGGCATATCAATTGGATGTCCATTGGATGTCCCAGGGACGTATGAATTATTCTTGAATTTGAATTTTTCTGGGTACCTCTAGGGTCAGATCTTGCATAACTGATTAGAACATCCAGTTGAGTTGATGGTCCGTAGAAGGTCTCCAAAAAGTTTCCCAAGGATGTCCGATGGACTTACGTGAAGGACATTGACAAGGAGTTCTTATAGCCTACGAGCAATCATTCGTCGGCGAGGTGTAAGTTAACGTCCTCGCAGGGACAACATATTGAAAGTACCGCCTGAGACGTCCATAGGACGTTATTTCTAGGACATTGGAAGAGTACAGTTCTTGTACCTATTGGGACATCCGACGGATATCCCTTAGGGACATTCGAAGGATGCCCCTAAGGGACATTTTGATTTTAATACGATCCTGGAAATATTAAGGGCGTCTGTGCAGAGATATTTGAAGTAATGTACCATCAGGGTCTAGAAACGACATTATATAAGATCTGAAGTCATGCCAGAATATGTACTACTCGGGACATCGGATGGATGTCCCTAAAGGAACGATTGAAATCATATCTCATCAGGGACATGCCAAGGACTTCCCTGCATGGACATTCTACAATATGTACAACGTGGGACGTCTCAGGGATGCTTTTTCTAGGACATTTGAATTGATGTACCAGCTGGGACTTTCCGTGGACGTCCTTGCTCGGACATTGCATTAGATGTACGGGATGAGACGTTCCAAGGACACTTATTTTTGGTTCGGGACATTCGGACGTGTATTGTACCAAATAGGGACGTCCCTAGGACGTTGTGTGCCATTAGGACGCAAAGATTCTTCTTCTGGCTGATCACCTTGTTGTAAAGTAAATGTTATGAATTTGTTTTTTTTTGTATTTAAATTCAATAAGTTAAAGTTCAGCTCCAATGCTTTTTCGGCTTTCGTATACATATTTACCCAAGAGTCTCCTGTTATGATGATAGCTGTGTCATCTGCATACGATATAAGTTGTCCCTTGAAATCATTAATTTCGCTAATACTGTTTATGTAAACTAGGATGATATGATGGAATAACTCTGCCAATGTAAATTCGGCATCAATTATTAGGAGTTGCCAGCTGTTGGAGATAGATTCGACTATAAGGCTTCGCGAGACAAAATCAAAATCAGAATAAACAGTTTCAAATTGAGAATTAACATATTCAAGTTGATTAACACACTCAAAATGAAATTTAACTCATTCAATTTGGAAACAAACAACTTAGACAAACGAATTTTTAATATTGTGTAAAAATCGAGGGGGAGGACACGCTCCAAAATTATGTACACCTATTGCCAGTTTCGGCATCAAATGCCAGTTTATGGCCGTAATGACGATATATTTCTGATATTGCCGACCATTGCCGACTAATGCCTAAATGGTGAAAAATGTTATCAATGCCTTACGACTAGAACACCTAATAGTTTGTTTAATGCCCGTTAACAATTCTAGACATATCTAAACCATCGAACCTCTGTTCATGTTCGGTGGTTACACCATGATACTTATTAATCTCTGTGTTTTTCTTGAAATGGGACAAGAGTAGCGAAAATAGTCCAAACACAAACAACTGATAGCAGATTTAAGTATTCCACAATTCAAATATCGATATTATCCAAAATGTCTCGTTGCAATGTGTTAGTTTGAAAGAACAACTATATAAATACCCTTCAGATACTAGTTCGAAATGAATTTTTATAATTGCACTATCTATCTTTTCATTATATTGAGACAGGGCTCCCTCCAGGCGGTGTCATTGAAGCTGGTGTATGTATATACTCGTCTTCATAGGACATGTCGGTGTCAGCTCTATGAATTACCACTGCTTTGGAATTCTCTGCCAATGGAAGTATTTTCAAAAACTTATAACCTCCAAAAATTGGGAAATATTCCAACACATACCTCCTTTCCCTATCCTCCCTAGGTACGCACCATATTCTTGGAACATTATCGGAACTTCCTTTCGTGCGCTCCAAGAGATTGGAAAATATCGTGACATGTTCTCAGAAGACGAGTGTAGATCTGAATTTGGATTCATAATTATCGAAGTGAAAAGAAAAATTATGAATTGCTCATGATACCTACTTAGAATCCAGGTTCGCTCTATACCAAACTGTATCTGTATTCCATAATATGTGGAAAAGTAGGAAAATTCGTAAATAAGGATCGTTCTCACACTTACGAACTACGGAAATATGTGGAAAAGTAGGAGACATCCGTATATACGGATCGTTCTCATACTTACGAATCACGAAAATAATGGGTGAGTTATATATCATAGCTAGAAGCAGAACATAGTCAGGATAGAATTTCAAAATCAATCAGGAAATTTACAAAACTCGTATGTATATTTCTATTGCTATCACAGACATGGTTCAGTAAGAAATCACTGGTTATGCATACGTCATATACCTCAAAATATTATACTAATAGTCTTTCAGGAGTACGGTTATATCAAGTTATGAACACAGTTATATTCAGGAAGAGATCATCTTCTCTGTCTTGCCTTATGATCATTCAGATGATTCTCTTAATGATTTCAGAAAAAATAGACAAAACCTAAAAACTCCCAGAAAATAATTAGAATGTCAATATACAATATTTGTTCTAAAATTTGTTGTTCTAAAAATTTGTTCAGATGTTTTGAGTAAAATTAAATATACGTTATGAAGTAACATCGATTTTTAGTTATTCCTGATATATTGATTATAATATTCACCTTCAACATTACATAGTGATATTCAAAAGAGGCACAAAGGTCCATTGTCGCAACGTATCAGCGACATTATAAGCATCTCTCTGAATGACATCACAAAGTAACAATGTAATATAACATTTATGTTTGAGTTATGTTCTTATGTTTAGTGGAAAATCTCAGATAAGGCAGTCTGTATAGGTAAGAAACCAAACTCACCCGATATATTGATGTGTGCATCATGGCTGGACTCACGTGTTGAGACTGAGGAAACAGATAGCGAGGTTGACCATCAAGTGAAAGTCAACCGCTAGCTCAGGGTCCTTACTTATTATCGAAACAATGGGCTTACGGACTTCCAAGACTTTTTTATTATTGTTATCATTGTTGTTACACTGGAGGCAGTGCCGGATCAGCCACGTAGCAGAAGTAGCAAATGCTACTGGCCCCGCGAATTGGGGGGCCCCGCGCTCTAATGCCTGTCCGGCCTGTCTTACTATAAAAAAATCATCAGATCTGTACGACTGTAGGGAATACTATCAGCAATAAACATAGGGATGAATCAAACGATATACAAATTACGACCATTTCAGCGGCTCTCTACTACACTTGACGAGTTTGTTGAAAATCAAACCCCTGGACAACGTTTTGAAGTTCAGGTACTTATTTACATTATTGATAACGTACTGTCTGCTTCGACTTAACGTTTGAGAGCATTTTATAAAATAACTAGTGTTTTTGGAGTATTTCGATAGCGAAAGAGACTTTGGAAAAATACTCAATAATGCTCAGTGCTCACACAGAATTAGTGTAGATCGTTGAGCTGCTCAAAACGAATGTGGGTACTGTCATTCATAGCACCAAACAGGAGCTTCTGGAACTATAATTTTATGAAATTTCATTGAATAATTCTTTAGAATTATGTTACCCAAACAGAGAAATTGCCTTGCGAATTTACGTGTATCTCATGATCGCTAACTGTAGTAGCAAACGTTTTTTTTTTTAGTATTAAAACGTAATAAGAATGAGTTAAGGAATACGATGGGCCAAGAACGGCTCAATCATCTCACTTAGATAAATATAGAGCATGATTCACTTGAATAAGTCGATATTGAAAGTGTATCTAAATTTGCCCATATAGGTATATCCAGAAAAGTTTATTTGTAATAGTTCCGATTTATTTTATTCAATACTCTAAACATGATAAGCCAAAGCAAACCAAGGGTCCCTTGATAGAATTTGCTACAGGCCCGGCGCTGGCTTAATCCGGCACTGACTGGAGGAGGTGAGAGTGAAACACGTATGATTACAGACATACAGGTTGGGGCCACATTTCACGTATGCAGTTATAATCGATGATTTTCTATCTACCTAAATAGTATTCAATACTACTATAGCTATAACATGTTGTACCAAAGTCAGCACCGACGTTTTCATTATGAACAGAAACTATTTGTTCACACGGTTTGATTGGCCTTCCAATCAAGACAACCTGATTTATGTTAGGTTTTCAAGATATGTCGATTCTCGAAAACATTTCGCACCCCTGCTTCAAAAGTGTCGTAACTCAAAATATGTCGAAACTCAGGAGGATCATTTTAAGTTTTCAAATATTTTCTCATGCACTCATGGAAAACCAAAAATGCAATAGGTTTGCTTTATGATGGAGTTGTGACCTTAGTATTCATTATAATGTGTAACATTCTATAAAGCAATCCTAATACTCCTACTAGAGTGAGATGTGTCGTTTTAGAATAAATAGTGTTTCAATAAAGAAATGAGTTATGCCACTATATCGATAACTGATACCTATATGAAAGGTGACAAATAATCATAAAGTGGTGTATTTCATTCAGATACTATGGAACTTATATGTAGATATCAAGAATAGATTCACATAAAACTTTGACCAAATTATAGGAAACAAAAACTGAAATTCTCAGATTATACTGAAATACTAGAAAAATGCAGAATGACTTGTTTCATTTGGAATAATTGTGAAGGTCAGCATAAAATTTACGAATGTGATTGCTTCGTAGGAACGAGAGAAGGTCCTTCTTCTCATTTTCTTTCAGCGGAATACTCTTTTTATAAGCGGTTGTCCCCAATTTTCGAAAAAAAAAACCTTCAATCAGGGTTTTCTTCCGTAACTTGGGCAGTATCAGAATCAGAATCGCTGGACGACGATGATTATAACGTTGACGATGATTCAGAACTTGATAAACCGTTCATAGAGGAGGACGATCCTTGGGATTTCTTTCGTAAATGAACTCAAGATCCTCAGAATCGAATGCAAACATTTGAGTACCTACTTATTGCATCACGAAAAGGTGAATGTAAATCAGTATGGATAGAACACTTACTACAATTACGGTGAATAATGAAAATTTTAAGAAGGAATCAGAGTGATTTTGAAATAAAAATCTTTTTCTACAAACGTCAAAAAATGACAAGGTTCGCGCATTGATAACAAATTGCGAAGTGACACTTTTTTCAGTTTCCTACGTTACCATGATACCTTGCACATAACAATGCGCGAAGTAAAACAGTGCGCGATGTACCTACTTCGCGCATTGTTATGTAAAATATATGAGATATTTTTATTCCAACTTAATGGTCCTCAATCGAGCAAACATCTCCGAAATCATTTATTTCTGAATGTTCAACCATAACTTTGTTTTATCTCTTGGAGCGCACGAAAGGAAATTCCTATTATGTTCGTGGAACATCGTGCGTACCTAGGGAGGATAGGGGGAGCCTTCTTAAGCCAGTTCAACACTATTTTTTATATCAAGCTAAGCATATTTTTACTTAAGAACTATATTTTTTGACGTTTGTTGAAAAAATTTTGTTTGCAACTCGTGCGCGAAATACTTCGGTCATCTCGACTAATTTTTTAACGAGGCGTAGCCTCGTTAAAAAAATCAGATCTCGATCACCAAAGTAGCATTTCGCGCTCTAGATACAAAAATAACTATTTTTATGTCGATTAATTGAAAAAAATCTCAAACCCAGATTGTACTCTTTGTTATAAGACATAGAAAAAAATAATCTATATTCGTTATCGGGTTTCAACTGCTCTTTCCTTTTTATCAGTTGCGATTCATTTTTGTCATCGATTTTCTCCGATTGAAAGACATTTTGAACTTGAGAATGAAGAGTATTTGCCTCAAAACATTGCACGAATGTATGCATATTTGCTCAAGAGGTAATCCATCAAAACCGTCATAACAAGACATGCTATATACTTCAAAAAATTCACATGATATTTTTCAACACTGTAACAAGGCAAAATGAACCATAAAAATTCATATCAAATTTAATTAAGTAATTCTGACTTAACTCAAAATAGGCCATTGATTTTCAGGAAAAGATTAACTTACCGTTATAACAATAGTAACAGAATTCGAGGTAATACTGTTTTTTGAATTCATGCATAGGGAATTTGGGATGATGGAATAGTGACACTGGCGCTATCTCGTTAAAAATAATACAAATAATAATACACTTTTAGAGACTAAAATTCAGATATTTTTCTGCTCAATGTTATGAAAATCTTGAAATCCGCGTTTTTTGAGTTGTAGCACTTTTGAAGCGAGGGTGCGATTTCTATCTCACATACTGTTGAAAATCAGAGTACCGGAACAGTTGGCTCAAAGTCCAGGCTAACTGCTGATACCTCATCGATGGTCTAATTTTGTACAACATTAGCGCTGGCGATTTTCAAATGTCAATGTCAATTTTTAGAATAGCAGTAATTGGCAAGGTGACGATTTCGATACGGCACCTGGTGGGCAAATTTGAACCAGTTTAGGACGTAATTCAAGGTCATGTTTGTTATTGTGTTCAGTACTTTCAGTAGGTTTCATATTTTATGAATACCATTCAACAAATTACGTTAATTTTCTCTTCTTCCTTCTCTTGAGTACAAGACATGAGCTCTATATCAATTGCCAAATCAATTCTGTATAATTTTATAAATGAGTATCAACAAATCTCTGATAATACGCGAAATCAACTGTGTTTGGTTGCTGTTTGAACTAGTAGAAGGTTCCAATGGAAAAATGTAGGACCTATAATATCCTCTAATATGAATTTCCTGCACTCAAGAAGTCTTTTCTGATGATGAAAAATCAGTTCAGTTGAATGGAAACCTACCTTTCTTCACTTCATTGGTCCAATGATGATAACAATAAGGTAAATTTGTGATTCATTGATATATTCATTACTGATGAATAACTCTCATTTGCAGTGCCTATCTGAGAGAGAACATGATTGAAATAATCAACAGTTCATATACCTATTTCATTTATGGGGAAATGTCTCCAGAAACTAGGACTTGGAAAAATAAGTATGGTTGTTTTTATTTCAAATATTTTTATAAGAAAAATGAAGCAAATTCAATGCCTTTGACTTTTGAACTGCAATACACAAAGCTGGGCAAGAAAAAAGACATTATGAACATGTGCAGGTGGGTAATTTATAGTTTTATTTGTAATGCTTGACTCATATAAAAATCTTGTTCATGACATCCTGCCTAGGCCTGCCTGCCATAGATTACTATTTTTTTAGTATCATCTTTGTAGTAAAATCGCCAATGCAGATTGCATATGTATACTTCCAAAATAATTAAGTTAAAATACAGCTACAATTACATTCATATGAGCAAAAACAGTAGCAAATTTTATAGATATATAATAACCCTGCTACAAGCAGGTCATTGTAGGTAGCTTACTTCATAGCTTGAATTGAATCTTTGAACATACATTGAAGTGACCCAATCTATTTCTATTTGAGTATTTAGATTGTGTAATAGCTAATAGATATGGTTTGTTCATAGTAGGTACTAATATTTCTTGAATTTTTCAGCAGGGGAGGAGTTGCCATCCAGAGTATCTTGCAATTGAGTGCAATTAGTTACACAAATTGAAACCAAAACCCAGATTCCTTGAAGTTGAATTCAAGTTTTTAAGGATATACAAGGATATATCACTGATTATTTGGGTACTATGGGTACTTGAACATATCCATGACATTTCAAATTGTATCTTGGAAAAATGTATTCATAATTTCACTGCTTGTATGTTATTATTAAACTGTATTTATTCATAAGTAAACGTTCTACTTTTTTTTCTGTTTTGTAATGTTTTATTGTAGGTTTTCAAAATTCATATTTCAATTCCACAACTACCTCAATCAACACCTCATTCTTTTTTTATGCAATTTCAAAGTTTCACTTTATAATGTTTACTGATTCCTTTTAAAATATATACCTACCAGAAAGATAC